ATGGCTCCGACGACGGCACACCCTTTCTCCATCAGGTAAGTTTTAGTTTTTGCTATGAATTTGCACACAAAATTCTCTTTTCTGGCCTATGTCGATCATGGAAAAAAAAAACACACGGTGGAACCACCGAACCAACAAAAAAAAGTATCACCAAACCATTTAATTGCTCTCAATTTTAGGGCTTCTACTTCTTCATCCATGGATTTTTGGTTCTCTAACTTGATTAGGCTTACTGCAGTCGTTGATGATGCCAGAGGTAATTAATCAATTTTTTTGCACTTTTTTTGTTCAAGTCTTTTACAAATCTTGTATCTTTTTATAGTTGCTCTATATATGCAATTCAGGGTCTTTATTTTTGTATTCCATTTCGTTACCAGCTAGAAAATCCAGCAAGATTTCGAGATAATAAAGAGATGTTTACTGTTATGGATGAAGTTTTGGCTGCTGCCCACCAGGTATTCGATGAAATTCCTAGGTCTCTTTTTCTATGTTGTTATCATCGCTTTACCTGTATTTTATATTATTTTATTGGATAGATTAATTAGTGTTCTAAATATATTTTTTTCTCAATAATTTTTTTTCCTTCAGTTATAGTTAATGTAGTTTTGGTTATGTTAGTAGTGATTGAAATCATGATAGCTTATGGAAAATGTTTGCAGTTGAAGTCACAAAATTCAGAAGCTCTGTATGAACCTTCTTCAAAAGGTATTAATTTTTGTAATAATACATTTTATATGATTTTGGGGTTTTACCGTATCAAGAAAATGGCAGGCTTACACATACTTCCACTCTATTACTTGGTTATGAGTTCTAAGAGTTCAGTAGTTAATTCATGTTTTGTTAAATAAGTACTTTGAAAAAGACATTTCTACCACTCTTTAAGATTTCCTTTTACTTATGATATTCTGTTTATAATGTGCTCAGATTTATTTTCATTGTGTAGGTTGCAATGTGGAACCGGGTCGTATCTACTATCATGTTTCAGTTATTGGTTCCTTACAATATGAGAATTCGGACCATGTTCTATCACCTACTTGGTCTACAAGAGTCTTTTCACCTTCTCGTGTTCCTGACATTCAGTGGAGACCTGGAAGTTCCTTCCAAACTCAGCATGAATACACTTGTACATTGTATTGTATCTACATTAACTAAAATACTATTAATGTATTTACTTTTTTTTTTAATTTTAATTTTAACAGGGACGACTCCGTTGTAGAACTGAAATAGCACCAGATCAAAGCGAGAAACTTTTTGCAGAAATTCAAATAAGTACAACAGCAACGAAGTTGCACCTTCCTGGAATGCCGCCTATTTCTTGAGGAACTTATAAGCAATTTTCAACACAACAAAACTCTCTTCTACAGCAGGTTTCTCCTTCATATTTCATATTTTGTAATTCTTCAAATTATTTTTATTTTAAATAAATGATGTTATTGTTATGTTAATATGTTCACAGTTTAATTCCCAAAGCTCAAGTGGATGGGGTGGGGCACCGCCAGCAAGTCCCAACACTGCCACGTTAGCACAACAACAAAATCTAATCCATTTACAGTCAAGTCAACAAATGTCAACCAATTCTAAAGATAGCAGTAAACTCTTTGACTTTTTTTAACATTATTGTCAAAGATAAATGAAATTTAAAAACAAATTACGATTTGAAGCAACAACTAACTATTTAAAATTTGATGACATTGAACAACAGCAACAACAAATACACCAACAAAGCGTTACATCTGATGACTCAATACCTGATCCTGCACAATCTCCTGTCCTTAACAAGAACACTTCCAATGAAGAAGATTCAAATGTCTCATATGCATTAGACATTCAGCAGGTATAATTTATTTTTAATTCATTTTTCTTCTAGGGTTTATATTTTATAATATAATTTTTTAGGGATCTGGGACTATGACAGAAGCAGCACAAAGAACACGCGATGTTGACCTGTCACCTGGTCAGCCATTACAATCAAACCAGTCGGTTAGCCTGGGTGTGATTGGTAGAAGAATCCTAACTTGGGTGCAATTGGAGACAACAGTAGTTGGTTAGCCGTGTCCCTAGGTGTGACCCACGACCAACAATACAACCTCCAAATGCTTGAGTCCGCCTTCTACAAACTCCCCCAACCCCGAGACTCAGAACGTCCCAAGAGCTACATTGCTGTGAATATTATTACATCATACTTTCATTTTTTATTTTTTATTTAACTCTTTTACAGAGGCACCCTGCGGTGACCCCGTAAAGCTATCCGCAAGTGCAAGCTCCAATTGTGAACAACTCGGCCTTTTGGGAACGTCTTGGATCCGAAAACATTGGGACCGATACTTTATTTTTTTCGTTTATTATCAATAGGTATTTTTATTTTTATATCATTTGTAATTTTTATTTTGAATTTTTTGAAATTTGTGTGATTTCATGCACAATGCTTATCAACACTATCGGGGTCCAAAAGAATTAAAGAAACATTCATGGAGGTACCATAAAGAATACAACACGTGGTTTCAAAGACATGAAGAGCCAAAATTTGCTAAACCGGAACCGGGTCAGAACTATTAGAGGCAAAAATCCATGCAAATCTTTTTCGAAAACATTCTTTGTGGAATGTATACCCTGTGCAGGTGACTGATTATGCTATGCTAAATTAAGTATTTTCTGTTCTTACTTGTAATAAATAATATTCTATGAGGCTTTTTTTTGTGTGCTTCTTTTAAGGATAAGTGAAGAATTACATGCATGTTCTTCAAAACTGCATTGCTTTTTAATTTTGGTGTTCATGCTCTCAATTGGGTAATGATTATTAGATAATAAATAGTTTTTGATTATTTTTACACGGAACATTAATGGCTTCCTCCATACTTTCACATTCCCTGTTCCCGTTCGTGCATAAGTTTATTTATTTATTTGTTTTTGGCAGATGATCTGCTGATGGGGAGATCCTCGGTTGATTCAACAAGTGGTTTTCAGGATGATCCACAAGAAAGGTGGCATATTGACTTCCAACCAAGGCCCTCCTAAGCCCCTATTGAGTTCCAACCATGTAACTTAGACAGTTAACTAAAAAAAATAGATTTCAAAATAATCACAATTTAAGGGATATTTTAGGTAATTTTTTTCATAATAATAGGCTGCTATGGTCAGATAGAAAGTTGCGGCTTAAATTGTGATTATTTTGAAATCTATTTTTTTTTTAATATTTTGGTTAGAAAAATTGATTTATGTGTTCTTCATTATAGGGTATTTAGGAATTCTGTGGTTATCAATAGTTGATCAAATGAAATTTACAAAGAACAAACAACAAAAAAACGGTCGCATCCGACCCTCGCAACGCGGCGGTCCCCACCTAGTATATATATTAAAGGTGGACACTTCTTAGGAATAGTGTCGGTTTTCCCGTTATTTTAGCCCCACGTCTGTAGTGTAGGTAATCGATCCTCACAGATCTTCCTTCCATCGTCCTTATCCAAATCTTAGCGACTCCAAAACCCAGATTGCAGGTATCGTCACCCACCGATAGGTCTCTTGGTTTCTCCTGATCAATCACCGGGAAATCAACGAGGGGAGGCCGACGATTTTTACCTGTGATGGGAGAAGCTGCTACGACGGCAGATGGAGGTCGTCGGCGTCAGCAGCAACAACTACACCCAACACACTTATCACTTTTGTTTCGCACGCACAAACCTCGATTTTGCGTTTTCTGTTTCTTCTATACTGTCCTGAATCAATTGCTGGCATATGATCTCTGGAAATCGCACCTCAATTTCTTCAATTTCGTGGAAGTCGAACCACCATACCAACAACGACTCACCAAATGCTTCTTCGTTCTCGTTGATTTTGTTTTAATCTACAGTTGTTTTCCTCAGGTTGCGGATCATACTCGACACTCTAAGTATGTCGTCTTCTCCAAATTCTCCATTTTCTTTCAATTGTTTCCTCTGCAACGCATGTCTTGCTGTTGGTGGGGACTCGATTCCTCTATGATGACCACTGAAGAATGCAGTTTCAATTAAAATTGGTTTTTGATCACCATCACTGACTAGCAGCAGGAGCAAGAGACGACGTCGGTCTCTTCTGATTTTGACATCTACGCCTGACTTTCCTTCTGTCGTCGCTTCGTGAATCCAATGGTAACTTTTGAAAATACGATCATATCTATTTCAATCACATGAATCAAACAGACTATTAGAATGGTTGTGTATTGTATATTGAAATCGATAAAGAATCAAAACAAATTCGTTATACAAAATCTTCATATTTCTATATCATGTACTTTCTGTATTGTTTTATGTTTCATTTTTCTTCGTTTTTTGTTTAGTGATGAGGAAGATCTGTATTACAGGGTGAATCTACGTGAAGATGATTTCTTATTGTTTAGTGTGCGTCTTAGATGAAAACACGACCATATCATTGATTTGTAATGAAAAGAAGTTGACCAAAGGTCTAATTCTTAGATGAAAACACGACCATATCACTGATTTTATTCCATGTTTAGTTTGCAAAATCGCATCTAGGTCAAGAGATACAGGGGTCAGGCTGTACTTTGCCTCTATCATTATATAGCTACTCGAAATTTCTTCTCTAATTAATAATGCATATGGGGGGTCTTTCCCCTGTTCCTCAGAAAATCCCAAATTTCAGTGGAGAGGCAGATGGTTGTCATGGAAGATTCGAAGATAATGAAGTGAAAGTCTTCGTTGAGAGCTGCCAATCCGATCTTTGGTATTTGTTGCCTACATGTGACAGGTATGAATTCTTCAACTCCAACTATAGTTTTCTTTTTATATTTCTCTCTATCATCCTTGTTACTATGGAAAAAATACAGTCTCAATAAGATAACTACAGATCTTTATCATCTTCAGCAACCAGTCCTGCTAGTAGAGTACCATCAAGTAACTTTTTTCTACTTAAGAAAACTAGGTGCTTTAACACAACCGATTTCATTTGAAGATTCACCTAATTAGGAAGAACCAGATGTTGAAGTTAGGGTGGAAGAGAGTGGTGATGGTGGTGACTCCATTAACACTGCCACCGCCCCCATCTCACCATCTCTTTCAAAAGCTCAGCAGTGGCTCCATGCTATCTTCACCACTACCACAAGCTACAGTTGTAGCAAGGAAGATAGTAGGTGCTACAGTGGTGTGGAAGGATTTAACGGTTACTATAAAAGGAAAACCAAAATGCTCTGATCGAGTTATAAAAAGCTCAAATGGCTATGATTTACCTGGAACAATGACAATCATAATGGGCACTGGAAAGTCAGGAAAGTCTACATTATTAACAACTCTTGTAGGTATTTAGTCAAACTACTTTTCATTCCCTTTTAGGAAGGTTGGATGATTCAGCTATAACATATGGTGAAGTATTCATCAATGGAGCAAAACCAAAATTACAGTATGGATCCTATGTAAGTTTTCAAGATTTCTTTAGTATGATGGGATGGAATCAAATCAACATTTTAGTTGTAAAATCAAGATTTTTATGTTGTGGGACCCGATTTTTCTAACAAACTTCTTGTGTTATTGTAAGATATTTCTTGAGAGAAAAAACACACTAATCGGATTATTAATAGTTCGCGATTTTTTTTACTACTCAACACTCCTTCAACTTTCTGGTTTTTTTATCAAAAGAAAAGTGTTGTAAACGATGCAATTCTTGCCATGTCATTACGTGACTATGCAAATAAACTCATAGGTGGACATTGCTACATGAAAGGCCTTCCAAGTGGCGAAAGAAGACATGTCAGCATATCAAGAAAGCTTGTAATGAGGCCACAAGTCTTATTCATAGATGAACCTCTCCACCAACTTGACTGGTCAAAGATTTTACCTTTTTTCCCTTACTCTCAATACCCTTTTGTGGAATAAATCAATAAACACCCAATTGGTGGACTTTTAATTTGAGTGAGTGGAATACCCAATTTTTGTGTTCTTTTTTTAAAAAAAAAAGAAAAAAAAATTATTGTTTAGGGTTTGTGTTGAATTTGTGCATTTTTTTGTTGTCTTTCCAGATGCACTTTGTTTTGTTTAGGTGGTTTGAGTGAGTGGCCCCTGCAGTGGGTCCTTTTAAGGGTACTGTTCATCATTTTTATGAAATACATAATAACTTTTCTTTTAAGTTTCTTTCAGCTTTTTAGATATTAAAAATAAGCAAATTATAAGACTCCCTACATTTCATAATAATTAGAACTGCAATCATGTATTTTATTAATATTAAAAAAAAACAATTTTTTAAGTCTTTTGAAGGAATCAAAATCCCATATATTTATATCTTTACATATTACTCAAACATTCTTATTGTTCCAAGACGAATGGATATTATCACACTAAAATAACCTGAAAGATATCCAGATTCATATTTTTTACAAGTAGGTTATAATTTATGAGTTGTTTCAATCAAATAAAAACATAATGACTTTCTACTGTCACATTAATGAACCGTTATTGTCTTCAATATATACTATTTGCCCTAGCTTCAATTGGTTGATAAGTTGGAACAGAAGAGGCTTTCACCACCACCGCCCACCACCGTATACGCTGCAGTGCCCTGGATATTGTACTCAGATTTGAAGGAAGGATAGTATGATAGTGGGAGCATATCTTTGGTTGTTATCTGATGAGGGGCATCCTTTTTAAAGTTATACACAATAGTGGTAACTCTTTAGATATCAGAAGGCGTTTAAGGATGGCTGTCGATGTTGTAAGGTTTTTTCCCTCAAATATCAATTATCAACTTTTACCTTACAAGGATTTTTTTTTAAACCAACTTATTATTATTATTTTTTGTAGGCGAGAGGTATGAACTATGTACGCAAATACATCATTATACTTTCGATTTTTTTTTTTATCAAAAACTACCTGATTAGAGAAAAAAAACGTTCATTTTTTTAATAACTAATAAATACAGCAACGAACTTTCATTTTTTTGAACTACCCATAAATATCATTCAACTTTTTTTTAAAACTGACACTGTGATTAGGGCTTTACCTGTGTCTGACAAAATAATTAAGGTCAGGAAAGGAACATGTGGTAAGGATAAAGCGAGAAAGTGACATGTTTCCTTTGTCACTTTATGTTTCTTATCCCTCCTAACAAGCTACCAGTTGACGGTGTGAACAAAATAATTTGCTTTTATTTTTTAGGATTTCTTTGATGATTCAAAGGGTGAAAAGGTTTTTAGCTGTCGATTCTTGCCGATTAATAGTGAATCGAAAGCTTTGGTTTATTTTAACCATAGGTATGACATGGATCTTTGCATGAATTTACCTATAATAGCAACATACTTACATTAACATAATCTTATTTTGCACGTGGAATTAAAAGAAATTAGTCATTTTAAGTTGGGTCTCGGTTTTTCAGGATTTTTTTTTTTTTTTTTTTTTTTTGGTATTTGCTTATGCTTATCTTTCTTAATGGTTGTTTCATTTCACAAATAATAACAATGTACTTACATTTTTTACAGCTTGCTGAGATGATAGCAATGTAATTACATTTTTTTTAATAATAATAGCAATTTGTTTGTATAATTTTTATAGTAGTAACAAAGTGCTTAAATTTTTTTTATTGATTGAGTGGAAGCTTCAAGTAATTCTTAATTTGATTAGCGATACAAACAATTGGCAGATCCTCAAATAATTCAATATTTTGAGAAACATCTACTAAGACCATGATTTCCATTTCCAGGTGGTTGGATGGATTGTAGAATATGCATGACAGGGTTCAACCACCGAATGCTAGCAATTGGGCTCTTTTAATTGGTTCTCACTTGGTGAGCCATTATGAGTTTTTTATTTGCATAAAATACATTTATTCACTTTTACTCTTCATTTCCGTCATTATTGACCTAAAAAAACAGCTGCCAGGTTCGATTTTCTCAGTTGGACATTTTTCAATGAGTTGACATTTTCACATGGGAAGTGAAATGGCCACATATGTGTGTAAAAGTGTCAAAAACGGTTGTTTTTAAGTGTCCATAAGTATAGTACATGCTTATGTGGACATCAGATGCCACATCATAAAAAATCATTCATGTAAGCAAATCAAAGTTGCTAACTGAGTTTTCGTGTTGCTGATTTTTTTTTATCATCCTCCAGGTATTAAGGTTGGAACTCATTTAGTACAAGGACCCAACAAATGCAATGACAATTAAGTAATTATATATATATATATATATATATATATATATATATATTATATATATATATATATATATATAGAAAACTCTTGAGTTCTAGTATAAGGTGCAAAATATATATATATATATATATATATATATAATATATATATATATATATATATATAAGGTGCAAAATAAGTTAGATGAAAGAAATATAAAAAGTTATTAGTGATTAGTAATTAATAACCATAAGTTAAAAACTCTTGAGTTGTAAATATACATAAATTAGAAAACTCTTGAGTTCTAGTATAAGTTTGAAATGAATGCAGTACTTGGAAATGTGTATTTATTATTATTATTATTATTATTATTATTATTATTATTATTATTATTATATTCGGCTAAATAATTGGTTTTGATGCATCATTTGAATCCCTTCAATTATTAAACATAAATATATTTAACTATAAATTTATAACATACATAGGTGCATATATATGTTAAACAAATCAAAATATGTATATATATATATATATATATATAATATATATATATATAATATATATATTATATATATATATATATATATATTTGTAAATGTCATATGTAATTCTTGTCGAGTATTATGGATAAATTACTTTCATATGAAGAAAATAACATGATAAGTCATCATAATTACATATCAAATGTTAAAAATTATGTTATCTTTTAAATATTATCTTGTAAATATGTTGTGAAGAATAACCCACCAAAAATATAATATAAAATAAAGATAATCAAAATAGAAAAACTACAATCAAATAAATAAGAATGTTGGGTGGTTGAATATATAAATAAAAATGGTACATAAATTATACATTTAAATCAAAAGAAAAAGCTAACATTCGTCTACTTTGCTCAAACAAAAAAACATATATCCGTTTTTTGAATATTCTTTCTTAATTTAACACTATTCAACCATAGAAACTTGATGACAATTCTTGATTAACCTTCAATAAAAATGTTTTCTTTGAAAAAGAAGAATCAGAAAGATATTCCAAACAAAACATTGATGTTTGGAGAGTCACATTCAAGATCAAGTAATACAAACAAATCACATATAATGATCAAATAAGAAACTGAATATAAAGAAAGAATAGAAAAGCTTCATTTGTTTTGGTTCAACGAAAAAGATCATACTTCAATTACCATCAATACGATATAACCCATTTCTTCAAATCATCGTATTTAGATCGTGAATGCTTCAACTATATGATCACTTTTAAATCAGAATATCTTCAACCAAATGACGACTTTTTGTAAGAAAAATGTACTAATATAACTACATATATAATAAGAGAATGCAAAAAATTATTGGAAATCTGTAAATATTATAATTGCTATTAATTAAGGAATATAAAAAGTTATGTAGATTTCAAATAAATATGGTTTGAGAAAACAAAATATCTCTAAACATATGATATTGAATGATATGGTTTGAGAAAACAAACAATCTCTAAACATATGATTTTGAATGGTATCATTTATACTACTTGAAAAAAATATAATACAATCAAGCTATGAGTAAAAAATGATACATTTATCCACAACATTAACTTGTAAAGCTCTTTTAGTGACTCCATCACTACAAATACGTTCTAAGAGAATTGTTCCTATTAAAAATTTTCCTTTTCATTTTCTTATGATATCGTTCTTACAAGTTTGTATAGCATGTTTGGTGTTTGATGCAAAATCAATTACTTAGAAGACATTTGAAAAGTCATTTGAGAATATGAATAGAAAAAAGATGTGATGTAAGAGAAATATAATAGTGAAATTTCGAATATCTTGAAAGTAAATCAAGTTAAGGTTGAAGTTCAAGAACATTATAATGAATATATCAAACAAAATGATGTATTATGGTGTGTTTGGGTATCTAAACTTATATACCCTTAAGGGTATATTTACTTTTCCCATATATATATATATATATATATATATATATATATATATATATATATATATATATATATATATATATATATATATATATATATATATATATATATGCTTAGGGAATATGTGGCTGTTATG